AAAAAAAAACGCAAAATCCACTTCAAATTTTTCACATTAGAAGAGAACTAGTCCTTATCTCCTTAGTAGAAACAGATTACTTCCTGTTCTGCGATTCAAGTATACAAAAAAATGTTTTATTAAAACTTCTCACAGTTGGGCGGTGAAGACATACCGAAATAATGGAAGCGTTAAGCTGTATCCCATGCTGTCGATGAATATTGATGGATTTAGTTTCAGCAAAGCTTCGAGTCCCAGAATCAGTCCAGCCATTGTTTGTAATAGAAGGGTAAAACGAGGATAAATACTTGCTTCAACGAGAGGACGTAATCTGAAAGACAATGTGCTTCTGATTGATTCATAATTTAATCAGTTTAGTAAAAATACTGAGCAATAAGGGAATTCACTCGTATGGTAAATTATCAAGCATAGCTGAACTTGATACTTACCGTAAAAACACGAAGTGTACATTTCTGGGATTGATACTGATTCCAAATCGCTGCTTTGCTTTTAGCAAAATCTGCTCTTTGGTTGCTTCGTAGTCGCCAGAGTAGACATGATATTGCAGATGTGGCCATCTAAAACATTTTTATATAAGATTATCTGAATGAGGATTCAACACAACAGCCACCGATATCCTCTGCTGTAAGACCGAACTAAAACCAAAGTAATGACCGTTAGAAGTCTACTTTAGTTGAATATATTCATTCAGCCTCCTTCTAGTTCTGTTGTAGTCCTGCATAGAACTCAAAACCTCCATAAGTAATGCGAATTTCCACTGTGCTCCTAACGCTAATCTCTGCATAATACGGAAATTGTAGGCATAGAAAACAGTTCTGAATGTGCGAACAGTTCCTCTTATCTTGGACAAGAACGGCTTACAGCCAATCCTAAAAAAGCTCCAAACAGTGGAAGGTACTCGTATGACATTAACTTGCATACATGACTACGCCCTGCCGCTTTGAAGTGTAAGCCAGCAGATTTGTTTTGGTTCAAATTTCCGAAAGGAAACAGTCAAACTTTTGAGATTTTCAGCATGAGAATTGAGTTTCAATAAATCTAAAC